AGTAAGGCCAGGAGCCCCTAGTTACGCTTCTTGTTACTAGTAGTAAGACCAGGATCCCCTAGTTACGCTTCGTGTTACTATATAGAGTAAGGCCAGGAGCCGCTAGTTACGCCTCTTGTTACAAGTAAGGCCAGGAGCCGCTAGTTACGCTTCTTGTTTACTATAGTAGTAAGGCCAGGATCCCCTAGTTACGCTTCGTGTTACTATAGTAGTAAGGCCAGGAGCGGCTAGTTACGCTTCTTGTTACTAGTAGTAAGGCCAGGAGCCGTAGTAAGGCCAGGAGCCGTTAGTTACGCTTCTTGTTACTTGGAGTAAGGCCAGGAGCCGCTAGTTACGCTTCTTGTTACTAGTAGTAAGGCCAGGATCCCCTAGTTACGCTTGGTGTTACTATAGTAGTAAGGCCAGGAGCCGCTAGTTACGCTTCTTGTTACTAGTATTAATTAAGGCCAGGGTAGTTACGCTTCGAGGAACAAGTAGCAAGGCCAGGAGCCGCTAGTTACGCTTCTTGTTACAGGAGTCCGTTCGTAGCGTCCGATCGCTCCTAGCTGAAGTTCTAAACCTGCCCCAAAAATGCGGAAAATACGAAGCCAGCCGTTCATGCTCCGGCTCCGATCATCGTCCCGAAGGGCATGCGCTGATCCCGGCGCTGTAGGTCACGCAGTCCGGAAGTGGCTGAGCACCCTTCACCTGTGAGAGGGAGGTCCAAATTGGGTCGTTGACGACCCATTGGATGGAGAGTCGAAATCATGCACTCATCCATCGTGGAGAACTCGTTTCATTGTGGAACTTCTGGCAGCTCTCTTGCCAGGATTCTCTATATGTATACGACAGATATTGTTATATATATATATATATTATATATATATCGATATATATGGTGTCGAGGTGTAGTTTTTAGCTTGCAGAAGTGCACCACCTCCCTTCTGGTGGTGGGTGGGTCTCCACCTTCGGATGTGCGACTAAAGCCCTAAACCCTGGGAGAGTGGATTAAAAGAACAGGTGACCCGAGTTCAGGAATTTCCTTTCCTTAAGTCCGTCAAAGTCTAGTCGAACTGGACTTCTAGGTTCCAGGGTAAATGTACTTTCTATACCTATACTTCTTTGGTAAACTCTCCGGTATTCGCACATCCTGAGGCGACCAGTTCCTGCAAAGACCGGACTTGGTGTCAAAAAAACATCGCAGACCTGCAGACAGGCCAGCTGGGCAGCAGCGTTCCGATCACCCAACAAGTACTGAGGTTCCACTTCCAACATCAACCGAAAGCCGAAGAATCTTGGGCATCCCTGTTTTGGTTGTTTTTTTCTGTGTTAATGGTTTCATCCCCATGTTTTCTCGTTGCCTCCTCTCTTCACACTCCACTGTTGGTGGATGTTTCGTCAGAAATCGACGTCCGATCACCCGAACCCGGCCTCGTTCAGCAAGTGCAGTGCCTCTCTCCACCGCCCTTCACGTTCACAGGAGCTGATCACAGCATTGAAGCTGATCAAGTTGGCAGAAATCGAAAGGTCGAACAGGGCCTGTTCGGAACACGTGTGTCTGCAGGAAAGATCGTGTGTGAAGGGGACACTCGTCCCCATGACCCTTTAAACATAAAAATTGAAACAAATACGTTTACCTTTTAAGCTCATATCCATGCCCACCTAGTCTATTCTACTCTATTCTTAATGGACTACAAACTGTTCGGTCGATGCATGAAGTGGCAAAAAAATGTGGACAACTGCCAAACAGCCCCACCACAATGTTTTTGTCCAGATCCTAAAATTTGTCCTAAAATGTCAGACCATCCTTCATTTGGTGATTAAAAGCCGAATCACAACTGTCTGACCCTCTTCACCTGCATTGTTTCCTACTTTTTGGATATTCATCGAGTGAACGCCATAGTTTGGCGTGCGCACACACACACACACCCTTTAACAAATCCCAGGCCAAGAAATGTCAAACTTGTCATATCTACGAACGTCCCCGTTCATAACCAAATTGCTGCTATCTCCGCCAAAATATCTGAGAGACACCCACCTAATTCCATGCTCGTGGTTTGTCTCGACTTCAGTGTGTGCACTGCTTTCAAACAAAGAAACAAGTTGAGTTCACTCTAGCAACCCCGGGCTCGATTGTATACCCCCGTGAACTTGGGAAGGAAATTGACTGGTCCGGTCCAACTGAGCCTTTTCCGGAAGCGCCGCAATCCGTGAAAAATGGGCGGCTCCCATCTGTCCATGATGAGGCTTGACAAGGATTGGCCATGCATACTTTTAAAGCAATCTGGGCAATACATTGGACGGGTCCAATGCACGTAGAATTAGCTGCAACTGCGAGTTCCATGTCCTTTCTTTCGGACTTTCTTGCGCGCGCCGGCCCACAGATCTTGTCACAATGGATCCCAGTCATGCTCTCGCCAATATGTTTGAGTCTGAGGCAAATCTTGCAGAACCGGCCGCGGTACGATCTCACGCACTGCCTGGGGAGCAAAGGGAAGAAGGCGATGCATACGAAGCAAGGCCCAAATTGCATAGTCCAAGTGCTTCAGCAATTCATCCATTTCAGACTCCTAAGTTGCATGACTCTGGTGTTCTACAGTCCACCACCGCTTCCCCACAAGACCTTCAAATATGCTGCTCCCCAAGTGCATCTGGTAATGTCGTGGGGTTGCACACCATTCTTTTAAGATTCCCAGTAGCAAGATATTTTCCCTGGCCCTGAACATATTTGTGTCTTTTGTCAAGCATCTACGAGCCCTAAGCGATCGCGCAGCTCGTCTAGACCATTGCCCGAAGAAGGTCTCAACGGAATCGCGACGTTCTTCAGCCATTCCTGCACATAGACTTCCGCTGAAGGTGATAGAGCTTCTTCCATGTTAGTCCCTTCTACTTGCAAGACATTTGCTGGCTTGTACAAGTACCTCCAAATGTAGAGCACACCATGCAAGAAGAATGCTGGAATTTGACCTGGACGATCATCATCTTTGGGTTTCGTTCGCCGTGATTTCAGCATGCTGACAAAACGATTCACGTCCAAGCTGCTGTCAACTACACCGAGCCAAAATCGATCCGCTTCCTCTAGCGGGCCAGCGGGGATTCTGCAAGTCTTACATCCCGATCTTGAGATGTGACACAGTTTGCTCTTGCGCAAGGCGTAGAGGAACCTGTGGCAGGCAAAAGAAGGCCTTATGCTGTGGGCCACGACTGGTCCATAGAGAACGGGCTATAGAACAGTTAAAACCTAGGGTAAAGAAAAATAAGTCAAATTATTTGGCCCGTCGGTCTGTTTCCAACTCGTGCCGCTGGGAGATTTGTCCATCAATAGGACCATGCCTGGGCATCTCCACACGGAATGCTGCGGCCAATTCAGGAGATTCGGAGCGCGCTGGACAGGAAGGCATGACCTGTAGTCGGCAAGTTTAGCATTCCCGCATTTCCAAACCCAGGATTCCAAAGTCGTAGGCTAACCAAATTATGATCCTGACTTGATTCTGTAAGAGCGCCCTGGCTACAAGAAGCATCAAGCAGAACAAAGAAAAACGATGACCATATTCAACTAAGATGACCCAAAGGCCAATCCAAGAGTAGGCTTTGTGGCACAGCGCGCGACGGATAGCTTGCAACAGGTGCAACCTGCATTAACCATTTGCACACATATGGCACTTGAATATGTTCAATAAAATCCCAACACGAGCAAACACACCGAACAATTGGGCAATGGAAGGAAACACACCGAACTAGTTGGGGAATAGGTGATATATGGTGGAATGGTGAAGGCAAACCAATGCGCCATTTGCTGAGAATCCAAGCGGTACCCTGCTACCGTCTGTTGCGTTAGTCCCTGGGACCTCTACTAAATGAGCAAGGGTTGTTGTGAGTGGCGGTTAAATCTATTTTTCGGTCATGTCAAAACCAAGCAGCAAAGTTGAGGCCTGACATGAACACTTTCGAAAGCTGATCGTGCTGCATTGGAGCAAAGTGTCGAAAATGTCATCAAAAACTGTATGTTCTTTCTCAGATGGCACCAGCGTAAATCCCAGCAATGTCACCTGCCGGATGGGGACGTGCAAACCACACACAACCACCTTTTGGACAACTACGCTTCGAACAGAACACCAACACATTAGAACTTAACCCAAACGACCTGAGACACTTGTCGGCCAGGAGGTACTCTTGCCAATACCTTCCTGAGACTGTCAAGCAATATGCCAGCGCTACCTTCCTTTGGAACTGGAACTCTGCGGCGAGCAGCGACAAAAATTCGGAGGTAGCTGAAACCGCATGTCCGCACTCCTTGGCAACTGCTTGGAAAGTGGTACTGGCGAACTGGATTCCACAAAACCACTACATGTCCTTCTAGCTTTAAGCTAAAATTTTATCATGAAAACATGAACCACCCTGTCTGGCAGTGTGAGGGTCGTTAGAATGTTGCTCAACCCCCACCTTGCCTGCATCCATCCGTCCAGATCTCAGAGCGAGTGCCAGCTCAGTCGGGGCACGCGCTGACCCACATATCTCCCGGCAATCTGTCTAGTCTTTAGCGTATCCTGCGGCATTCTTTGGATCTGACATCCTTTCCGGCAATCTATCTAGCATATCTAGCTGGCATTCTGACTCGCCGCATATCTTCTGACATCCTTTCTGGTCTTCTGAAACTTCACAGGAACTGACAAACCTTCTGGCATTCGAGGATTCTGGCTGGCATGTCTTTGACATCCTTTCTGCCATATCTGGCATTCTGTTTGGCATAACTTCAGACTTCCTTTCTGGCATTCTATCTGGCATATCTTTTGGCATTCTGACGGACTCTGGCTGACATATCTTCTGCCATCCTACTTGGACTGGTCCACTGGCGCTCTCTATACTGTTCGGGTCCATGTGCGCCCAAATTCCCAGAGCTGGCACTCTAGCGTACTATATGCCACAACACCTTTCAGAGCCCGTGTCAGTTTGGTGCACGGGCGTATGCCAGAAGTACAGTAGATGCCAGGAGATATGTCAGAACATCAGAACATACTATAACACATGTCAAAACACACGCTAACTGCTAACAATGATGTCAGAACACAGTCCAGAACATTTCCCAGCCCAGCTTTTATGATGCTGATGCATGAAATGTCAGAACATGTCAGAACACATAGCAGACTTGATGCCGGAACACTGTCAGTGCACATGTCAGGCGGTTTGCCAAGATAGATGGTCAACAATACAGTCTTCCAATTCACCTCTCAGGGGTGGGGATCACTCAAATAAGAAAAACAATACTTTTAGACAATCGGCGCGGTGGACTGCCAAGATTCGCGTCGGCAAACTCTGGGTTTCCATTGTTACCTTGCAGAATCGTCGGCATCAAAATCATGACAACTCCAACAATACCGGCACCACCGCTTCCGTCTGTAAACATTCCATGTTCCAACATGTTCAAGCAATCTACCTAGGCAGCTCTGAAGAGGTTAGCCAAACTACCTTGACACTGTGACACTCTTGTACAAAGTTTCCAAACAATTACATTCCTAACCCAAATGCCCTTGCCATTGCTCTCCGTTCCTTGTTCAAGCAACAAACTGTTAGGTGAATAAAAACAGGGCAAATGATAGTCAGTTTTGCGCAGGATCTTGTGCCAAGCTGCATCCCACACACAATCACGCATCATGGACTCAACTTTTACAACTTCGTCCCCTTTTGCAACGGTGATCCAAACGTCATCCTCTGCATAGGTGCGTGAAGCTACATCCTCTGAAATCAGCCACGACATACCATCAAACTGAATCCATCTCAGAAGCTCTTGGGGAGGAGCTAATGGAATGCTTTGAAGATCTATGTCCCGCATTTCATGCAGCTTCTCAAAGTCCAGAAAAAGAATCGCTTCTTGCTCGTTCCTCGCTCCATCGCGCAAACCTTGCTCCACTTTGAACCCAAACAAAGGCGCTAGGATTTCGACACACCGATGGTTCCCCCGCTCACGTGCAATCTGGAGACAAGTTTTCTTCTTGACGTCAAGCAACTTGTCCACCTGATCTGAGCAGTGATTTTAAAGATGATCTGTTCCAGCTTAGTAATAGTACACTGATGGGCCCATGCTCCAAAGCAAAAGATGTGCTTGTTTGGAGCAACATGTTGGGCTAGGCACAAACTGAACCTGGGAAATTGACATCAGACTGTCCTGCTTGAAGTTGAGTCTCTCTAAAAGGAAATGGACTCACCAAGGCTTAAGATACATCAACTCTCCTACTACTCCAGTCCAACTACACAGCATGCAAACATGATTTTCAAGACCCACACTGCGAGCGCGCTCTGCATTCCACCACCCTCGAAGCGGCCCTCCCATCGGAAGCCCAGTGGCAGGAATTGAATACTTACTTGCAAAGGCCACCAAGTGCTCCAAGGATTCTGCACTTCCATTCCAAGCCGCTGTGTGGAAAGCGGTACTGGCGTACCTATGGAGAACGATGTGGAAGGTGGATGAAAGATGATAATATATAATGTTATATATATATATATAAGATCCGACAAGCCTACATGCAGCATGTGTCGTTTCTAAAACCAGTTCGTCGGAGCAAGGTCCAAACCAACCACCAACCAAGCAACGCAGAATATGAAAGAGAGTATGTGCAATCCGGGTCGCAGTTCACGGCGGCCACTCAGCCACTCAAGATCCTGAGTGGCTGACACGAAGAAAGCCTGAGTGGCTGAGTGGCTGACAGGAAGAAATGCCTGAGTCGTTGAGTGGCTGACAGGAAGAAATGTCTGAGTGGCTGAGTGGCTCAGAGGAAGAGAAGCCTGAGTGGCTGAGTGGCTGACAGGAAGAAAAGTCTGAGTGGCTGAGTGGCTGACAGAACAGAGTGTGCCCCGGGCGGGTGGAACAGTTCCAGTTCCAGTTCCACGTCGTCCAACACAGGAGACTGGGGAGG